TTGTAGGTATTTTGTAGATACATGTGTTGCTTGTGCTTGCATGCACTTGATCACCAATATTGAACTGAAAATTGTTGGTTGTTCACTCCTTGTTGTTGGTCATTGTTTTTGGTTGAACTACCAGCAAACTAAAGATTTTATGTTAGTTTGAGTATATTGTTTCATATGTCATAATTTGTTTTGGTATATAAATATATGTCAACTCTTACCTTTGCCTCATCCACATCATATTTCCTGTTTATCAAATTCAAAGCACTCTTCACAGAATCATCTATAAACACTCGAAGGTCATGGAGTTCTTCAAATACAGCCTTCCTAAAATCCTCTAACTTTCCATCAACCTAAAAGTTAAAAATATAGTTAGTTGGTAATTTTATTCAAATAAATTACAAATCAGTTTAATTATGTACGAGGCAGTATTGTTTTCACAATTGTCTACAAATTGCTACAGTTATACTATAATTTAACTACAACGTGTGCAATCCCAACAGGGTTGACTATAGAATTATGCTACAATTTAACTACAATGTATACTACATAAATTGTTATGAAATGTAGATAAATTGTAGCAAATATGTAAATATATTGTAGTTAATAATATTACCTGCTCAATTCTCTTTTCTAGCTTTCTGAGCTTCTTAGCCACAGATTCCTTGTCCTCTTGACAATCTGTATGTTTGGGTTCCAATGTTGGAGAATCAGCATTTGGAACCTCTGATGATCTTGCACCTTGCTCATCTTCATACTCAATCTTGTTTGGCAGAGTAAGCACTCCAATCTCTTCTCCAGACTCAGTCATGCTTGTGAACTGAATGATGAAAAAAATAGTTCGTTCCACTAAGGCTGAAAATGTAGACTAATTGTAGATATTATGAAGGTAAATGTAGCAACATACAAAACTGGAAAAAAATACCTTAATCCACTCAGGCTTGATCATCTTCTCTTCAAAGGCAGTTAACCAAATCTGCCCCTTAGTAGCTGACCATCTTAATATGCGAGGTATTGAGTCAGAACACCTCGTAGCAAGCTCTGTGCTGACGGTCGAGCAACACTCATAAAGCCACACTGCAAGGCTAATGAGCATCCCCGTATGATATAAGAATGTACACGGGGATTTAGACGATGCCTAACGGATTCCATAACCCGATTGAACGATTTAATACCCCATGGGTATGACTCAAACTGACCAGACTCTACCAAATAGAGCCTAAAGTGGTCTGTAAAAGATACATGGTCTTTGTCATAAGGGCAAACAAAAAATTCTAAAAGATAAAGAATGCACAACTTGACTGCATCCTCATCGTTTACCCAAGATCTATTTGTTACTATGTTTTTCAAATACCACTTCTCTACTCTTTTTTTGTTAGGAAAATAGCTATTCATTAATTTGCTAACATAACTAGAAGTATATCCATAATCTGTAAACTGATTCACACAATTTAAACCGGTAATTAAACCAAACTCTCTCAATAAAAAAAATCAATTTTCCCCCTTCAAGTGGACTGAAAAAAATGATTCGTTAAACTTAGACAGTTCATACTTCATCAGAAGATGAATAGCTTGGTTTTGCATACAAATAGAGAGGAGAGACAATAAGTAACCAAAATAAGTGTTTTTAAAAAGTTTTAAAGCATTTGGAGACAATAACTCTTTTATCTGGCTAGGAATGCTAGGATCACACAAAGTGTGGAATCTAAGCACCCCATAAGCCATATTATGTGGGGCAAAATAATGTCCAACTTAAGCCTTCTTAAAAGAGACTAAGTGTCTCATTTCTTACCAAATCCTCTCTGAACTCGAACTAATCAACTCGATCACATAAAACACGGATAACGAAGCGTAAAGAAGCTGAAATGGGAAAATAGAGCGGTAACTCATAAGACGACTGGTCGGGTCATCACATTTATTATTTCTTATGTATGTTAGTGTCACCGTATATATAATAGACAAAGTGAAAACTGATCTTCTATTATATATAGAGGTTAACTTTGAAGAAAAATATGCACATCATGCTACTGAAAAACTTAGATACACCGAATAGCTTATGTAATAGTACACAGATAGTATATAGAGTTTTGACAATAGTGTAATACATGCAAATATTAAGATACTGGTCAATGTGCTTTTAAGTATATTCTTATCCCTAAATTCAACTTTCGTCTTTCGAAACTAAGGAATATCCTTTTAAATTTGCGTGAAAATAATTTTTGGTACGTTTATGTTTTACAAATATAATACATAAAGCACAAGGACAAATATCCTAAATATTGGACTATATATATCACAATATATTTTCTTGCACGAACAATTGTGCCCTTTCAAGAGGGATATACAAAATGATAAATTATTTCACATTAGTAAACTGCATAAAAATGAAGCATTAATCTACATATTATCTACATATAACTACACAATCACTACACAAATAGCTAAAAACAAATCAGGAAGAAAAAATACATACAAATCTGCTTCAAAAAAATACAGCCTACCCAAACATATAACTACAAAACACTACAAGATATCTACAGATATAAACATTATCTACAAAAATGCAGGAAGAAAAAAGTAACTACAGCTCTGTTTCAAAATTTAAAAGCTAACGACAATATAACTACAAAACGACTACAAAATAACTACAATTATAAACTGTAGAAAATCACAACTACAAATAATCTACAAAATTAAGACAACTAATCTACAATTTACTAAAACACTTAAAAAAGAGATTTTTACATCCAAAACAAAACTAAAAAACTGGAAACGAAAATAATAAATGTTTACCTTCACCAAATTTTTTTCTGAACCAGTTTTGGGAGTTTTTTGGACTGTTTCTTCGTTTTTTTGTTTTGAGGAAGCAGGAGACAACTTGGGTTTTTAACTATTGGAATTTTAGGGACATCTTCAGCAAAGTCGTCATCTACACATACCTCTTTCCCCTTTCTTTTGAGTTGTTTGCCGCCTGGTGTAGCACTTCCTCCAGCATCTACATCGTGCATTTGCTTTATTCTCATCTCGGCATGGATTTGTCTAGGAGATGAACTGTGAGTAGTAGGTTCCATTCCATGTGTAGATTTTACTTGTTTTTGTGGTGATTTTGGTGTTAAAACACCCAAATCGAAAGAGGGGATATCACCTACTATAGATTTTTTAGGTGTTTTTTTGGGAGATTTGATATTCTTCATGGTTTAACTTCAACTTGACTAAAGATGGGAACGAATTTTGTAGAATGATAACTTCAATATTTGGTGAATTTAAATGGAGAATAATGAAGAACGTGGGTAGCTTTTGTTCTGTAAAGAAGAAAACAGACGCTAAACATGGGGGAGTGAAGGGTAAAGGTAAAACGTAGGGGGAGTTACGGGTAAAGGTAAAACGTGGGGAGGGGGGGTTGAGCTGAAAAGAAAGAGAAACGTGGGAATATACGGTCCTATAATTATACCTCATATAAATGCCCCATTAATTATATCCCTGTTTTAAATTATGGTATATAAATGGTAATTTAGTATACTAAATGTAATTATCTCTAGCCTTAAACATTGAGGGTAATAAGGTTTCATATGTGGCATAGGAAGGTAAAAATTCCAACTTTAAAATTTAAATATTAGTTTATCTAAAATTTAAAATATTAAATTCTTGAGATTTGAAGGTCGGATATATTCATTCTAGTATATTCTTAATATCTTAACTTTTATATTTTATTTTTATCTCCTTGCAAAAATTTTGCTAAATTTGGTTATTATCACATCTTCAAATCAACAGGACCATTAAGAAGTTTCATCAAAATTATCAACATTAATTTTTATTAAAAAATAAGAAGAAAGAAGGTGGTTAAAAATTTACTGCTTTCCTAACATTACCCACACAAAAATAATGGTTCTTATTGATTATTAAGGTCATGAATTTTAGAAAAGTTAAAGTGGTTGCTATCTAACTTTATTACCGAGCATCTAATTTAGTTTAAATATGATTAAAATAATTCTGAAAAAAAAAATAGACAAGCTTAGAAATAAGTGGTTTCCAAATGATTCCAAATTAGTTAAAACGACCATAAATTCTAGGAAACTTAAAGGAGAAAAGTAGGATTCTTATTAGTTTTTACATGATTAGGAATACTTGTGGTAAATTCATAATTACATAGGAGACCACACAAATTTATTTTTTATGTAGTATATGTCATATATTTGTTAGTATAAAATTATCGCTATTTAAAATTGAGTTTAAGAAAGATATATGAATAAATTCAAAATTAAAGCGAAGACAAAAGCTTGAAATAAAAGCCTTAATAACGATCCATAACGTTTAAACCCACGGAAACGTGAAAGGATTAGATTTAAGGAAAATAGATGCACAATTTAAATGTGAATTATATAAAGTAAAATATTACTCGATTTTAAAGTCCGTAATATTAGGATTTTCTACATATTTCAAATAAGAAAAAAAAAGAAAAAAAATATTAGTTAATTAATATTAAAAAATAATTAATTATAAATTTGTTCAGTGTAAAATTTATTTTTAAAGAATAGAAAAGAGGAACGATATTTTTATTTTTGAAATAACATAAATATAGATATAGATATAGATAGATTAGAAAGATTTTTATACAACCTTACAGGTAAATAATGAGTAGAATTCAGTAATACAAGTAACCTTCAATAGAATAAAATTAATTGCGGTGATAGTGTAAAGAGTGATTACAAGGGCATGATATTAATACCTGTCGAATACTACTAGGTTTGGTTGAAGGCTAGTGATCAAATGAAGCACGAGGAATTTCAGTGGATGGCCCATCTCAGTTCTGATTTTTGGTTCTACCTAAATGAAATATCAGAAAGCAAACTCCAGTTGTAGAAATCATTTAAATAAAGGGATGATATATGATAGGCAGTGACGTACCCCATATTTTTGGCAAAGGTCAATTAAATACTGAACTTTGTGATACTTAGCATACTCACTTCTCCAGTACTGGTCCCTTTTTTTTGGAACTTATTCAAAATCCACACTCCAGATGTCCGACCATGTCTTCGTGGAGACTATATATATATAAAAAAACGCAAAAGCAATTAAGCAAAAATATACCTATATATTTACAACTCTAGGAAATGATTTTAACATGAAAGTATACGAGGAATATTGAGCCAGGGCATCATGCCAAGAATGGTAACAGTGCAGCATGATTTCAAGGCAACATTCTTGAGAGTCCATTCAAGAGGTTCAATGGAGAATTCTTTTAATGCATCCATAACTATAAGCACATGTTTAGGAACATCTGATGACCCCATGAGTGTCAGTTGAAAGTTGAAATGTATTTTCTTCCCCAAGTTGTTCTCTTCTATATTAGTAGCCATGGCCTCCATTTTAATTATTTCTTTTCTTTTTTTTTTTTTTGAAGGAGAACGGAAGGGATTTGCTCAAGGGCTTTCAGATAGTTATATAGAAGTTTTCAGGAGCTGAAGAAGAGGAAGAATGAAACAGGAATATAATTTGTTCGATGTTAACAAGAAATGCTTTATAAAACCTATGATGTAAAAGAACATCATGCAAAGAAGCCAAATAAGTTGCCTGGTTTGAGGTGATCTCCTTTCTCTTTGTTTATTGGAGATTCTTGGATCCCAACTCTTTCTTACGACAAGCTCAAAAATAACTCTGAACTAAGCACGTATTTTACTCCTAAAACAAATCTAACACATAGGAAAGCTCCATTGGTTTTCTGCATTCTAAAGAGGTTACATCTTTTTTATTAGTGGTTTCTTTTGCACAACCAGTAATTTGAAGTTACAATTATTTTTTGTCTCAAAATTCTAAAACTTGATTATTCAAATATTCAAGTTTTAGATATTAACCACAAGTAGGCATTCTGGTTTTGAAAGCGCGAGATTTGGACAACTTTAAGTTTTAAAAAAACTCCTAACTTTACTCAAAGACTAATTAGATATTGAGAATCTGTGTCAACTAGTTTGGAATTAATTTATGAAATTTAACAAAATTTATGAATGAATAAATTAGTGGCACTTATGTAGTACAGAAATTAAAAGTTCCTACAAAATCTCGCTAGGTATATAAGAGATTATAATTCTCAACTGTGAGAATATAACATAAAACTCTTACTCTGCACTATACAGTGGAACTCGGAAATATAAACAACAAAATAACAGCTGCTATTATCTAAAAACTACCCCTCATGTTTGTTTGAGGATACAGATCAAGACCCTATTCCATTGGTTCAGATTTTCCAGTTAAAAATTTCATGAGATACCAAAATTATTAGTGTTATTGCCAAATGTAACCTGCTCATCTTAGGCTTCCAGCCGTTACAGTACGAAACACAGAGCCAAGGCTAGACCTCCGGCGACCGGTAGAACTACTATCATCTCTACTTGGAGATACATCCATTCTTCTCCTTTTCTTGTTAACAGAACTTCCACTGTGTGACCCGCCCATTGCAGCTGGTAATTGCTGGGCTCTAGACCCACGCATGCTTTTCTTTATCAGGGTACACGCCTGCTTTCTTTCCATATTCTGCTCTAGCTCCTTCGGCAGTTGCTTTTTGCAGGAAACCCAGTCTGCTGTTCTTAGATGAGGACGGGGAATATGGTAATCATTTTTTGCAAATGAAAACCAATGATCTCGCACCAGCTTCTCTATATTCACTATAGGCAACAAGTCTATAAAAAAAAATAGAAGTGCAAGATGAGTTTACCTGGGGGATCTTCCCGATATATCTCTGGGCTCGGAGATCTAGACGGCGTTTTGGGTGTGATATATATAGTTCTGCTAGGTGCACCGGGGTCCAGAGTACTGCAGTTTTCTTTGAGTATTGAAGGAAAAGACACTTTATCCACTTCAGGTGACTTGGGATGCAAAATGTTACTTGCACCATGTGGTCCAGGAGCAGACCTCGTCTGCACATTTTCCTTTCCGTCACTATCCTGAACCTTGTTGAGAGAATTGGGAGATAACTCATTTGCAGCATCATTGGAGCCTTTGACACATAAAGCCCGCGGATTTGGCGGACGCGGAGAAGTAACACAGACAACATCTGTATTATCTAAAACTGACTTGGGAGAGGTGTTCAGTATGGACGGATCTATAAAGGGCTTTTGCACTTCAATAAAATCTGAAAACCAGGGAGTGCCCCTCTTTGCATAAAACAGAACATATGCTTCCTGCGACAAAACAAAATCTTCTCCAACCTGAATAACCTATAAGTTTAAACAAATATCAAGTCAGTTCATCATAATCGCTTGTGCTACCCTTTATGCCAGGAGAATTGCAGAGTACTCTAACAAAAATAAGCATTGACGAAACGATATTGAATGCAGCACAAAAACAAAATGGTTTCTGAGTTAGAGGCACCAGACTATTGAGAAACAGATTAATCCTACAGTAAAATCATTAAGGGGTCATTTGGTTGGAAAGAAGTTATCCCAGTATTAATTATACGGGGATTAATTATCCCGGTATTAGTTATTTCACCTTTCCATGGGAATAAAAAAACACTGCAATCCCCGGATAACTAATCATGGGATTAATTATACCGTAATTTTTTCCCAACCAAACATGGGATAAACTTTTATTAAATTTAGTCCCGGGATTAATTATTCCTTATCCCCCTACCAAACGAGCCCTAAAAGAAAGTAGGAAGCTTGATTTGCAGTATATTACATACCTTTGAGTCATCAAATTTGTACCATTCATTTGGAGCAGAGCGAATAAAGCTGTAATAGTGCCCAGAAGTGTATGAAAATCCTACATGCCTTATAACTGCATAAAGATCGTACTTCATTTCTTCCTGTGCACCGGAAGGAAAATTAAAAATCATATACAGTTCCAGTTAATAAAGATTAAGCAAAAAGAAAGAAAGATCTTAAATTAAAAATATTATAGTGAATTTGTACACAACATTTTCCCTGCTTAGACTCCATTTCCTATCTAATATAAACAAAGGAGGAAAATTTAAATTCATTTTGATAAAATACTTCTCCCAAGCTATTAGCTACAAGCCCTCCAAAATTCCTTTGCAACAAAATATATATATATTGTAAGAATCCCAGAAATTTCAGCTACTAAACTTAAGTATGCAGGAAAAGTTTACCTCTAAAACTTTTTTTTTCTCAGGAACTATACTAGTATATATTTAAGCACTAGTAATTACTCTTCATCAACTTCTTTACCAGACAAAAAAAATTCACTTTATTTCATCTTTTTAGACTCCTAAAAAGAAAAGAATCCCTGCAACACTAATTCCTAGCATAGACTCAGAGTAACAGGAACTCACATTATCACTTTGGTTGTTATCAGCATAAGCATGCAAGTCCAATTCCAGTGGAAATGAAACATATTTGTCAATCTTCTCAACAAGAGAACCATCAGTTTTGAATCTCTTCAAATGAAGGGCAGCAACAGAAGGGGCCTTATCCAGCACAAGCTGCTTCTCAATGGAGACTTGCTCCTTACATTTTTCACATGTAAATTTTATTTCTGAATCCTCTATCTTCTCAACCTTTGTGAAAGACTCCAGAGCTGTGGCTAGGCTGTCAACATCCTCAATCTCCAAACTCAGATCAATTAGTGTCTCGTAAGTGTCAGAACAATGGCCACAATTACAACACCGCAGCTGCAATTTCGAAAAAAAAGGCATCCGCAGAATGTTAGTTCTACATTTGCATATAAGAATGAAGAGCAGAACATATATGTGAATGCAATTTTACAACAAAAGGCACAAAGAATTGATAAATCATTTGTTCTTACTTTGCTAACTAAACGACCTCCAAAAGCCTGCTTCACAAAGTTCTCAGTCTCCAAAGTTGGGCTGCCTTTTGGTCTTGAAACATCACAACATTGTTCAAGTTTATCCAGAAAACATTGCAGAAATTCGTGAGCATCTTCTTGTTGGAACCGATGGAAAGTGGAAGAAAAATCTTTTTTTTTTCAAGAAGTTAAGGATGACAGTGAAACAACAGCTACAGATTCGCAAACAAAGCAATGAATTTATACAACCTTCATACCAAGCTGGCCTGTCTGATTTGAATCTTCATATTCTATATAATCATTTAGAAAGGTAATTTATTAGACAATTGACTAACAATCAATTCTTTTGTATGTAACTAAACATTGACTATGATAAAGGAAGCTAATTTAATGAAAGTAACTGTTTAGGTTAGCTAACATAATCCAAACCAAACAGGCCCTAAACGAGATCTAGGTTTTTCTTTTCCTGCATAATAAAAGGGAATGAAGAAATGTGAATGTACCAATAGTGTGTACCATACCAAAATCAGTCATCTTTCTTATATGTCAGTAAGAAATAAGGGTAACGAATACATAAGCAGAAAAGATAAACACACATGAAATGTGAACATTATCCCAAAAATCACAAACAAGTAATTTTAAAGGATACAGCTTAAATTGTTAACAAATTTGCAGGGAGAGACAACACCAGTCTCAGAAACCAGTAAAGCATCAATAAGCTCTTTCAACGCACAAATTACACAGAAACCTTTCAGGTAACCTGCAATTGTTACATAGACAACAAAACAATAAGCAACCTCACAAACAGAGAGAGAAAGAGGAAATCTCTCCACTAGACAAGATTAATTAAACCAAATACACTGACATAACTCATATGGTTGAATAATTGGCAATGCAGAGTTCGGTATCAAAAAACAATTAAAGAGTTTCGATCTTAATTTAAACATAAGTTCCTTTAATTTTTTCCAAAAAATAAAAATAATTACTCGTTCAGAAACTATGTAAGAAGTATTAAAAAATTTATAAAAAAAATGACTACTTGACTCTCTAAATAGTACTTAATAGAGACATATAAAATGGAACAAAGGGATTAATTGTCATTTCTTACTATCACAGGGTGTGGCATGATCGTTCAACTTAAGGCCCTGAATCAGAGACACTGTGTGCATGAATGATTGCAATACCGAGTTTAGAAAGCACGTGTTGCCTAAATTAGCAAGCCCTGCACCCTGTTAATAATCCCCAAAAAAAAAATCAACACATAACAAAAGTACCCAAGAAAAAAGAAAAACTGGAGCTACTGGCGAAGCATGAAGATTAATACCAGCATAAACGACTTAGCATCGTCATCTCTATGACAATTCCACAGAGACCCAACTGATACCGATTTCGTAGTTTCAACTTTGTTAGGCCCGTCGGGCCAACCAGAAGCTGATGGCTCGTCGTCGTCGGGCTCAGCAGTAGAAGTCAATTGTGAGCCCAAAGGCTTTGAATTGGTGATTGGACCCCAAGGTTGAGACCAATGGCTGGTGTACGAAGAATATGGAGTGTACCTCCGAACAGGTGATGAATCCAATTCTTCTTCCTCCATTTGTAATCCTTCAAATTTGTTCGAATTAGCTGAGTTTTCAGGAGAATTTGGGGAAGACCGATCTAGGGTTTCGCGAGGATTTACTGAATTAACCAGTTCAGTGTCAGTTTCTAGGATTTCTGAGGAATGAGTTTCCATTGAATGTGGAGAAAAAAAGAAGAGAAAGCAGAAATGGGGGTTGTTAGGGTTTTGAAGGAGTGGGAAATTTGAGGATTTAGAATTTTCTTAAGGTTTTGAAGAATGGAGGGAAAGGAAAGCAAGAGGGAAAAGGTTGGATATGAAAATTGGTAAAAATTGCAAAGTGATTATTGAGATGAATGGAGAGTTTTGAAAAGGGGAGGGAAAGTTAAGCCGCCATTTTGGAATTTCAAGGAATACTTCAATTTAGGAAAGAGGATGCAGTGCGAAAGTGTCGACACTGAATTTACCAAGACCAAAACCATAGAGATTAATTATTTCTAAGCCGCCACTCTCCGCGTCTTTTTAAATACATAACTAGTCTTATAGCCCGTTTGGACATACAAAATGTTTCCTTTTTTTCAAAATTTTTTAAATGTTTGGTTATCCTATTCTTACCATTTTTTCCTTTTTCACTTGAAAATTCATTTTCAAATTTGAAAAACTAGTTCTCACTTTTTACCACTTTTTCAATTGAAAATGGAAATTTTCTAGTTTTTAGTTTTACAAATTTATCTTATATTTTTAAAATTTATAAAATGACCCCATCAGTTTTTCATCTTTGACAGATACATCTTTAGCGACTGATGGTGGAACATCAGTCCTAGTTGATACTTGAACCCTGCCTACTGGAAGTTTGATTACATGATTATGAGAAATATGTGGCTATGCCTGCTTTTGCACCTTCTCTATGTGTTAGTAGAATTAGAAGATGTGATATTGATTTTGCATCTTCTCTGTATTCAGTAAAGCATAATATGATAACAGTTAAACAATAGCTTTTTGATTGTTTATTTCAAGTAGGATAATCATATTGGGGTGGTTTTGATATTTTTTACAAGTTGTGGGGTATAAATCATATTTCATGATTTTGAAAAGAAAAGAAAAAGACATCCAAATATGTTGCAAAAACTATAACCAAACACAACTTCATCTTCAATCCAAATTTTAGTGAAATTCCAAATTTGAATTTTTTTTTTTTTGGAATTCATGTCCAAACGCCTACTTAGAGTACGCGCGTTGCGCGTGTATCTCATATCAACAAATATTTTTTTTTAAAATTACATAATTGTTATTGACAAATGTGTCTGGATTATTAAATAAAAATTATGAAAAATCCAAATTCCTAAAAAATGATGAATGTTAATTACATTTATCTAACTCGATAGAAGAAGATCACTGATCTACAAATACCTTATTATTTTGGACTTTCGTTAAGGATAGAATTAGGTTCTCACGCCATCCTATCTGCGTATATTCGGTCATTATCGTGATAAAGAGATGGTATATACTACTAAATATTGCTACTTCCTTTAGCTCAATAGTGATGGGTAATATCATCAACCACATATCGACACTATGAAAAACTATAAAACTCAATGACAACACTTTTGAAAAATATTTAATTAATATTTTCTTAAAAAGGAATAGCTTGAAATAGCTAATATTTTGAACATTACCAACCTCAAATCTATAAAATTTTAGCAATCTGAAAATAAACGTGAGCTCCTGAGTATTTCTGTATAATTTTCTTTAGGTTTCGTCTCTTGATATCTTGAAGTAGAAAACTTCTAATATCACATGGATTATTATTGTTATGTGTGAATTCAAACCATGAGATCTTATGAAAATTAACTCACTTGATTTATATAAGTAATCTTACTACATTCCTAAATATTAGGAGTTCCTATATAGTTTAAATAAGAAAAAATATAATAGTCAAAATTTTAGTTAATTTCAACATCTCAAATATTAGAAAATATTAATTAAATGATAATTTTGTCCAATATAAAATTTATTTTTAAATGATTACAAAGTCGATCAATATTTCATGTTGAAGTTTCGTGCTTTTATGATAGTCTAGACTGATTGAAGAAGATAAAATTAAAAGAAAAGTGAAACATTATTTTTCCTTTATATTTAGTATTTAATTTTAGTCTCACATAATTATGACATAATTAAAATAAATTAAATCAAGTTGTTGCAAATACTAATGAAGTAAAATTACTCTTCAAAAAAATTTACTCATTAATGTTAAAAATGATTTTGTTCACCATAAATACAATTTGAGTACCAGTAGGATTTTACTTTCCAAATGCCATGTAAAAACTACTTCAAACGAACTCTTTAAATTTTGTATTAATATTCCAAATGATTGACTTTTTAAATCTATATTTAAGGTAAAATTTTAATCAATTTTAAAGTCCTCAATTTTAGGTGCCTAGTTTAAATAAAGAATGATCTAATAAGCAATTTTTAAGGAATTTATAGGTCCTAAATATTAGGAAAGTAGTTAAATGACTATTTTATCCAGTGTGAACCCTATTTTTAAAAGGTAAAAAAGACGAACGATATTTTATTAAATGGCTTCGTGCTTTTAATGTAGTATAGATAATAAAATGGAGTGAACTGTCATGGATTTGAACTTTGTACCTCAATTATGTAAAATAAAGTTGCAACCGTTAACCATCAAAACTTAGGAACTAATGGTGGGGTAAAAACTTTAGCATCGGATGTACATCTAGTTTAATTAAGTTAACTATACTAAGGTTTATTAGGAGTTGTTGTTAATAAATAAATTTTTAAAAGGTATTGAACTAATGTTATAAAGTCTAGGGTTACCGTCCTCTTTCGACTGTTCATCTTTATTTTATTCTAAGTCGTATGAACGACCTTCAATAACTGCATCTAATAATTCTTTGGCTCTCTTTTTGTCTTGATTTCACATAAAACTGTGTTTACTTATGCAATGATGCATTTGAAAAATTAATATGCAGTTTTATGTAAAAATAAATTAATCTGGGAGTATACTATGAGAGACAAGTTTTTCATTTTCTTCTTTGTATTCTTACTGAGTATAGTAACACGAAAAGAATAATATGCCTTTTTTTTTCTTTTTCTTTTTCTTTTCCTTATCAATAATTTCTCTTAAAATGTTTCTTCTTTTTATTGTGTAAACTGTGGAATAATTTTTGAGATAAATGCAGTGCCAATAGGCAGCTAAAAACTTTGAGTTTATCCCATGTTTCTGGTTTCCGTAACTTGTCGATGTTCCCACGTTAATCTACTTAAGTTAAAAATATAATGGAATAACTGGATTATTAAGTATATTGTAACTGTATTAGGTGTTATCGTATTGATTAGTTTGTCTTGTTTCATGAATTACCATTCCATTTTCCCCATTTCTACTTCTTTATGTCTTGTTTAGCTGTATTAGGTGTTATCGTATTGATTAGTTTGGGTTCGGAGTGGTTTGGTAGAGAAATGAGACACTTAGTCTTTCAAGTTGGCCTTTTGTTGGAAAGTCAACCGGAAGTTGACTTGTGAGTAAACAACCTCAAAATTTGGTTTTTATGATTCGAATAGCTTCGGAATGTGATTTGGGACTTAGGAGCGTGATTGGAATGTGTTTTGGAAGTTCGGAATAGATTTAGGCTTGAATTGACGAAATTGAAATTTTGGCGCTTTTCGGTTGGTAATGGAAATTTTCATATAGGGGTCGGAATGGAATTCCGGAAATTGGAGTAGGTCCGTCGTGTCATTTGGGACGTGTGTGCAAAGTTTCAGGTCATTGAGACGAGGTTTGATAGACTTTTTGATCAAAAGTGGAATTTGGAAATTTTGGGAACCTTAGGCTTGAATCTGAGGGTGATTTGATGATTCGATGTTGTTTTGAGTATTTCGAAGATTGGTATAAGTTTGAATAGTGGGTATATGATTTGTTCGTACTTTTGGTTGAGGTCCGGGGGGCCTCGGGATGGATTCGAAAGATTTTTCGGAAGGTTTAGCTTTAGAAATGAGCAGCTGAAGTTGCTGCCCCTGTCAAAATCGCACTTGCGGATTGGGGACCGTAGGTGCGTGATCGTAGAAGCGTTGGGAAAGCCGCAGAAGCGGCCAATGGCTAGAGGACCAGAAGTCGCAGGTGCGAGAGCTTGAGCGCACCTGCGAGACCGCAGGTGCGGAAGGAGAGGCGCAGATACGGTCCCCGGAACTTAAGTGAAAACCACAGAAGTGGTTGGTTTGACCGCAGAAGCGGTACCGCAAGAGCGGAAAGAGGACCGTAGGTGCGAAATCCTGGGTTAGAAATGTATATAAGGCTTCCTTCGCGAATTTTTGCTAAGTTCTCCATTTTTTAAGACGGGAAGCGAGCTAGGGCAGTGATTTTCAAGGTGAAATCGAAGATTATCAGTTGGGTAAGCTATCTAAACTTCATTACTTGTGTTTATGACCATTTTTCCATTGTTTAATCATGGTGTTAGTGGAAATTAAGGAAGAAAATTGGGGGACTAGGGCTTGAAATTGGAAACCTTGATTTAGGAATTTGAGGGGTCGTTTGTGGTCGGATTTTGATGTTCTTGGTATGTATGGACTCGTGGGAGAATGAGGATACTATTGATGTGACTTTTATCGAATTTTGAGATGTGGGCCCGGGGGTCGGGTTGGACCAATTTCGAGATTTTTGATATAATTTGATTATTTTCGCATAGGCTTCGTTCCCTTAGCATAAATTGGCATTATGATTCTGTTTTTGGATAGATTCGACGTGAGTTGAGGCTGACTTGAGAGGCAAGGGCGTCGTAGAGTAGTATTTCACCCGGTTTGAGGTAAGTAACCATTGTAAATCTAAACCTGAGGGTATGAAACCCCAGAATTTCGTACTATTTTGATAAATGAGGTGACGCACATACTAAGTGACGAGCGTGTGGGAGTGCACCCGTAGGGATTGTGACTTGGTCCGTCCCGTGGCGACTGTATAGTTGAATATTTTGATATACTATATATGATATCCACATATTTTAGAAATTGGTTTGTTAACTTGGGCTAAATGCCATGTTTGGGGTCTTGGTGCCGACCTGTTTAGACCCGTAGGGGTATTTTACTATTTTCCTCATTCTGTTTGATCTGAAAGCATATCCTCAGTCATGTTTTACCTGTTATTTGTTTAAAACCAGTTTCATCACTCAATTTCTTAATATATGAAAATTGTTTGGACTGAGTTCCCTGATTTTTCACTGATATGCCCGAGTGGTCGTGAGGTTAATGAGTGAGAGAGGTTTAGGACCTAATGGTGAGGATTACATATCTATTATGGATTGGGTTGCACGCTGTAGTGATATTATATATATGGATCGGGCTGCACGCCGCAGCGGTATACATATGGATCGGGCTACACGCCGCGACGATATATATTGGATCGGGATGCACGTCACAGTGATATAACGCTTGGGCTGTAGGAGCCCCTCCGGAGTCTGCACACCCCCAGTGAGCGTA